TTAAACCTCCTGTGGTGTGTTCAGACCTATGGTTCAGACCAAAAACTAAATGGCCTAAAATGGCAACTTACTATTTATCAACCCCTGATGTAACCGCTGGCTTTTAAAGAGGTGATAGGATAAATGAGTCCTTGCTTTGGTGCAAGAGAATTGAGGACGGTTTTATTTGATCCTATTTCTGCACATTTGGTGAAATTATATCACTTTTTCTTTCAAGGCAAATCAATTTGAATAAATCTTATTTCAAGTGAGTTTCAAAACAAAAGCACCAAATTGTTCTTTTTTATTAAGTCGCACCATTTCCAACCTAAAAGTAAATGTTTGACTTTAAGTAAGCCTCGATGCTATAGACACTCTTCCTGTTAGTGATACTTCCTCTAAGCTGTGAACAAGCACATTGTGTTTTTTACTTTAAAGTTCCCCTTTTGGTCTGAGCGCAGCAGCTCAAAGGGAGGAAGTGAGACGATGTGGTCTAACTCACATCAACCCAGAAACAAAGGCCTGCACTTCAAAGCCAAAGCTAATGGCAAGAGCCTGACCTGTCTTCAGAGGTCCCCTCTTAAAGAGAGTGTGTACCATCACCCCGATATCTGTGTGACAGCAGCTTTCATCCCTTCAACAGAGATGTATGTGACCTCCACCTCCGTCTGTCGTAGACCCCTCATGTTCAGCAGTTCAGAGGTGAACTATTTGCAGACCTGGAGGAGAAACATCAAACATGTGCGATGTGAGGGTGTGTTCATGCCGAGCGTGTTTGGAAAGGTTTTCTTGACCTCTGCACTGCAGCCTTCACTCCTTTAATTAAAGATAATGATGCTATTCTCCACTACAGTATTTTCTGGCCTGAAAAAACATTATCAGTCACATGGACTTAAACGCTGAACAACCTTCCTCTCTGGCTCATCGGAGGTTATGGTGCTTGCAGACGGTAAAAGGACACGATTCTCTTTCGTTTTGCTTTTGGATGCATGCTAACACCTAGTTGCTACATTTTGATCATGTTTGACACCCAGAAGAATCCCGGGCTGCAGGGTATTTGCAGATACAGACACCTTAAGTAAAGAGAGGGACTATTTTTGTACGAGAGCCTATATTTTGTATCCTATTTATTGCCTCTTTAAGTCAGTTGCAAATCACCTATTAGCTATAGCATTAGCTTCTGTACAAATCGGATGAATGCAGATTTCACAGTGTTTTTATTTGTGTCTGGACTAAGTGTGATTGCACCCTCTTATCACCTAGTCTGTTCACAGCTTCCTCATCTCATGCCTCCAACTAACCATGTTTGTGTACAGTGTGTGTGTGTGTGTGTGTGTGTGTGTGTGTGTGTGTGTGTGTGTGTGTGTGTGTGTGTGTGTGTGTGTGTTTATTGATTACTTAAGAGTGAGAAAGAGAGAGGAGGTGGCTCCTGCTCCCCTGTTTCTGGTAATACCCTCGCCACATGAGCAAACAGGAATCTGTGAGAGCTTTCGAGCGTGCACAACAACAAACATTCATACTGTAGATGCATTTCCAGCTCATCCCACACTTTTCTTCCACCTTCTATTCCTGGTTTGGTTCGGTTTATCTGTGGTTTCTGGAGCTCCCAATCGTGCTTCCATCAGACGTCTGAAAGTAGAGGACAGGCGCCGAGAGGAGAAATGGAGGATGTCGGAGGGAGGGGGAGGAATGTGTTTGTTAAATCAGCAGGGGAAGCAAGAAGAGGGGAGAGAAAGAGCAGGATATTAAGGAGGAATAGAAGATGGAGATACATGGAAAAGGGTATAAGAGAAAGGTGAACGAGGACAAGAGGTAGAGAAGGGTCCTGAACACACTCGCTGCAGGCCCATATAGGATATCTGGAATTCAGACTCAATCACACGACGGAAATTACCATCAAAGTGAGGGGGAGAGAGGGGGGAGTATCAGGCTAAACATGTCAAAAGGACAGATGTCCTCTCTTATAGGAACACATACATTGTGTTCTTCCTGCACTGCACTGGTCATATCTTCTTTCAGACCTGGGTTAACATATTAGGTGTTCAATATGTCTTGTTGCATGTGTAGAAATCTTCACTTCAGTATGACTTACATACGTCTACAATATTTCCAGGTTTATACCCATTTGTATTCTGAAGGTTTCCACATCGGGGTTTGTTCATAAATCCCTCTCAGATGCTTCATATCTCAGAGAGAGGAGGTGTGATGGTGAAGAAGTCACGTTACACAGGGCACCGCCCTTCGAGACAGAAGCCACTTCAGCTCTTATCTTAATGCACTTATATCACCTGACCTCGTCATGAAGGTAGATATTTATCTGTGTGCTTAAGGCTCTTTAGGAGGTAGGAGTGGAGTTATGTGGGATTTTAGCATGAATGCTACATTTTTGCAGAATATGAGAACAATAGATATATGTTTTTATATACAGTATAGGGACAAGTAGGCTATGCACAAATCAAACTCGCCATGTATTGTAAAGCTAGTTTTACGGCCTTCTCATTTAATAACAACTCATTAGGAAACCACGTACTGGACATCATAACATTACACAACAATATATTTAATAGATCCCCATTAGGCTGCTTTATTCACCTACTAATTTGGTAATAATGTGCATTAGACAATAATTAGCTTGAAATGCTAGAAGACAACATCCTGCACAATATAACACAATTGCATATAAACAGTATTTAATGATAAGCAAGCTTATTTTCCACCCTCACACACATGATAACTCACACTATTTACACAGGGATTTCCCCCACAGCTGAACCAGAGGAAGCCCCTCACACCTGTGCCCATTCGGAGCCACGTCCCTCCACTGTGATCACTTTACACATGCTAGTCCAGTGACGCTGCGCAACTGTGAGCATCCCAGGAGGATGTGGTTATTTGAAACCCTGGGATGGTGGTGGCGGATTTCCCATAAGGCCGAGCATGTTGGTGTGTGTTGGAGAGGGGGGGGGTTCCATGGGAAAACAAATGTGGTGAATCAATGTGGATTATTCCCTCGGAGGAACATATGGCTGCGACCACAGAGGATTAGCATGTACGTCCTTGAAAGCAACTTTAATTCAGATCACTGCTTTAAGTGTTGTTTGGAAATAAGCTTACAGTTTGTCGCAACCTTCGTTTAAACTATTACCAGGAAATGGGTTGCATCACATCACAAGGATCCAGTTTCTTACAAAGAAGTGACATCGACTTGTGTGTTTGTGTGTCTTGTGATTGTGCTATGACTCCCCTGCAGGGCAAACCACACACACGCCGATATCAGTTCTTATTGTTTCTAGAGTCTTGTTGCAAAAGGACAATATTGTGATGACATAACACACGCTAGTGTATGTGGTTGCATGTTTGGGGAGAATCATTTCCTGCCTGAGGCGCTGCACGACTGTTAATAATAAGTACGTGCTGAGAATGTGATACTTTGTCTGCTTCAAAATAGAAACACAGATCAGATCAGTGAGAGCAGAATGAATCCTGTGGGCAGAGAGGAAACACAAAGAGAAAGAGCACTCCAGTCATCTGTTATCACCCTCAAGGTCATGATGGGTGTGTGTGTGTGTGTGTGTGTGGCGGAGTGTGATGGGTAAGTAGGCAGCAAGGCAACCCCCTGTCACACACACACACACACACACACACACACACACACACACACACACACACACACACACACACACACACACACACACACACACACACACACACACACACACACACACACACACACACACACACACACACCCTGTCAAGAGCATTAAGCACAGACACAATAGAGGTGGATTTTAAAGTCAACCTATAGTGATTGTTCAAGAAAAGGCAAACATTTCATATAACGCAGTCTATTTCAATCTAACTGTATTTATGGGATAACAGTTGTCAAAAAACTTGTAATTATAGGTGTTTGTTCCCTGACCACATAAACAGAAGGGGTAAATAAAATGTTGTATGATGGGAAATGTTTCTACTTTCCCAAAAACAAGTCAGTGCATCTCAGGAAAAAATAAACACAAGCTTCCCCTTTTCTACCCTCGCTGATAATGTGTGTTTTTAATATTGCGCAAAACTCAGCTGATTCATGATTTCCTGAACACCTTAAATATTCTTTTATGCTCACACACACTTTGAGACAAAAGAACACACACTTTTTGCAGTGTGTGTTTTCATGTTGTGGTGGGGGGTCTTACGATGTTGTCATGAATGTCTACCCATGAAGAAACTGATCACTTTAACAAGAAAAGAGCCCCTCCTTAGAATTTCTCAAGCAGCCCAGTCTGTGTGTGTGTGTGTGTGTGTGTGTGTGTGTGTGTGTGTGTGCGTGCGTGTGTGCGTGTGTGTGTGTGTGTGTGTGTGTGTGTGTGTGTGTGTGTGTG